CTGCAAGGAGGGAAGGCGTACGTTTACTGGAAGTGTACAACTATATACTATACTGTATATGACTATATACATTGGAAATGATGGCAGCTGCCCAGCTACAGAGCAGGAAATCATTTGGAGGAGAAAGGAGGGGCTTCCACGCTGCAGGACTTCTCTTTTGTCGGATTTATTTACACCATGTGACGTTTGAAGGGGGAGTGGTGGCGTAGAGGTTAGAGAAGGTGGGCTTATGATCGGAAGGTCGCTGGTTTGATGAACCCTGGACCAACATCAAAATGTGGGTGGGATATGTGAAACACCTGCCTCCACCCTCATTTGCCCCACTCTGGGCTCTTGAGCAACGTCCGAACCTCCACCATCCGCTCCACTGAGCGCCCTGGATGTCAGCTCTCTGCTCCACACAGGGGGCTATGGTAGCTCGGTGGTTGTGTCAGGAAGAACATCCGGCGTAAAATAATTACCAAGTCTTCGTGAGAGTTAGTTCGCTGTGAAGAAGGGAGCAGCTGAAAGAAGAAGATTTTTTTATACCATGTGACGTTTAGGGCAGGTCTGTTGAAGAGCTGCACTCAAAATGTCACCTGGTGCAAATAAATAAACCATACGTGAAATTATGTGATATGGAAGCCCCTTTGTCAGAGTCAGAGAGATTTATTTGTCATACACAGTACACCACATGTGGTGGAATGAAATTATGTACACAGGGTCCCAGTTACATCCAACAATAAAATGTAAAAGAAAAACAGTAATAAGATCTAAGATATGAACTTAGAAAAAACATCAGCTAAATATACAGTAAGCACTCATAGCATAAAAACATTACGCCGAACAGCAGCACGAACATGAACATGAGTCTGTCTGAGCAGATGTGCACGCATGAACACATCAACATTGAAACAGATCAGCAGCAACATGAAACAGATCAGCAGCAACATGAAACAGATCAGCAGCAACATGAAACAGATCAGCAGCAACATGATATGGTTTTTCACAGTGATTATTCTGGTTAGAGATTCATGAGTCTAACAGCCTCAGGGTAGAAGCTGTTCCTCAGTCTAGTGGTTCTACACTTAATGCTCCTCAACCTCCTTCCTGAGGGGAACGGGGCAAAAAGTGTGTGTGCTGGGTGAGTGTGGTCCTTCATGATGCAGGTGGCCCTCTTCCTGCATCTGGAGGTGTAGATGTCTGTGATGGTGAGGAGGCTGATTCCGAC